TTAATATTACACACAAGTAAAGTTTTGCTGAAAATAATTAAAAAACAATTGCCTCAGTACATAGACAGGGAACTGCTAGACATTCCAGCTGGGTTCAGAAGGGGACATAGAATTAATGATATCATTGCTGATGTCATATGGTTCTTGGCTGAAAGCAGAGAATACCAGAAAGATATTTACCTATGTTTTATTGAATATGCAAAGACATTGGACTGTGGGGGTCATAACAAATTCTGGATAACATTGTGAAGAATAGGAATTCCAGAATATTTAACTGTGCTCATGAGGAACTTGTACATAGACCAAGAAGTTGTTGTTCAAAAAGAACAAGGGGATACTGCATGCTTTAAAATCAGGGAAAGTGTGCATCAGCGTTGGATCTTTCACCATACTTATTCCAAGAAACTGGACTACATGAGGAAGACTCATGAACAACTTGTGATATGTAGATGACACAACCTGGCTTGCTAAAAGTGAAGAGGACTTGAAACATTTACTGATAAACATCAAAGACTATACCCTTCAGTACAGATTATACCTCAGAGTAAAGAAACAAAAAATCCTAGCCACTGAAACAATAAGCGACACCATGATATAAAGAGAAAAGGCTAAAATTGTCAAGAATTTCCTTTCACTTGGATCCACAATCAACGTCCATAAAAGCAGCAGTCAATAAATCAAATGACATATTGCATTGGGCAAATCTGCTGCAAAAGACCTCTTTAAAATGTTAAAGAGCAAAAATATCACTTGGAAGACTAGGATGCTCCTGGCCCAAGCCATGATATCTTCAATTGCCTCATTTCCATGTGAACACTTCACAATAAACAAGAAGACTGAAGAATATATCATTGAAATAGCTTTTATGGAATAGAATTTGACCTGTTTCGGCTCACATGTAGAAAGAAAAACTTTCTTCTCTCAGCATCTCATTTTAGAGTATACTTTTAACTATTTAAGTCAGGCAAAAACTCACAATCAATTCTTTAAAATGTGGCCATGTTGCTGAAGTAAATGTAGCATTTTTTTTTTTTTTTAATTTTTGAGAGGTCATGACTAGCTGCAGTTCAATTTGACTGCCTCAATGTCTTAGGCACTACACCACCAGAGCTCCTTTTTTTTTGGGGGGGGGGCGGGAATGGCAGGGGGGGTGAGCAAGGAGCCTTAGTAGTACAGCAGTTAAATGATGGGCTGCTAACTGAAAGGTTGGCAGTTCAAACTCACCAGCAGCTCCATGAAAGAAAGATGTGGCACTCTGTTCCTGTAAAGATTACAGCCTTGAAAACCATATGGGACTGTTCTACTCTGTCCTACAGGGTCACTATGAGTCAAAATCAACTTGATGACAGTGGGTTTCGTTTTTGATAAGCAGTGAAGCAGAGCAAAGCCAAGAAATCATGAAATGACATTTCACACATTCTAAACTATCAGGCAGTTACAAAAATTAGAAAAACTAAGTCATCAGTATCACTACGGAAATAGGATTGCCCAACCTTCCTTCTGAGGAGTGGCTGGTGGGTTTGAACCGCCAGCTTTCTGGTTAGTACTCAAGTGCTTTAGCCACTATGCTACCAGAGCTCTCAGAGATCCCTTGGAACTTTTAAATACTTTCAAAAGGGTATTACTGACACCACCTAGTGGAACCATTGTAAATCTCACAGCCTCATGTTTAATCTCTATAATCAATGTACTGTTTTTTCCATAAAAGAGCTCTGGTGGTGTAGTGGCTATGGCATTCAGCTGCTAACCGAAGAGGTTGGTGGTTTGAATCCGTCAGCCACTCCACCAGAGAAAGATGAGGCAGTCTGCTTCGGTAAAGATTTATAGCCTTGGAAACCCTATGGGGCAGTTCTACTCTGTCCTATGGAGTCACTATGAGTTGGAATCAACTCAATTGCAGTAGATTTGGTTTGGTTTAGTATTTTCTATAACCAGAACTTCAATGTAGTAGCTATGTATGGTGGCTATATTTCTATGAGTTCTGCTGTGTATGTGTTAGTGTTGTTATTCTTACATGAGGAAGCAGAGATCCAGGAAAACATTTTTCATATAACATAAAAACTATCCCAGGATAATTTCAGGGCATAATTTGTTATTTAATTTGTATAGGATCTTGCTAATTTCTCATGTTTCAAATACATTTAAACCATTGGTTCACTTTGAGGTATTTTCAAACTTTTCACTCTCATTATCCAATAAAGAGGCCATTACAAGAGCCAGTGCAATTTCAGTGCAATGCATTTGCCCAGTATATTAACTACATATAGTATTAACCAGCTGCCATCCAGTTGCTTTTGACTCACCAAAATCTCATGTGTGTCAGAGGAGGACTGTGCTCCAATGCTACTGAGTGTTCATTACTTCTCTAACAGAACACTTCACTCACTAAATCTTAATTGTCTTACAGCATTGTCTTCATAGTAGAATATAAGCTCTTTGGGGACAGGGTTGAGTTTTTCTAGTTCATCTCTTCATTTTACTCAAAAAACTCACTGCTGTTGAGTTGGATCCAACTCATAGCAATCCCCCTCCCCCTTGGGTTTTGAAGGTGATATTACTCTGGAAGTAGATTGCCCAAACTTCCTTCTGAGGAGTGGCTAATGAGATTGACTTGCCAGCCTTCTGGTTAGCAGTCAAATGCCTTAGGCACCACACCACCAGAGCTCCTTCTCTTCATCTTGGTGCATGATATTTAAAAACACTTCTTAAATAAATGGTAATGGACAGTACTTAAGAAAACAGAAAGGGTATAATGTCTTGTGTTCAAGGAATCCCAAGGCTCCTAGACAGATGATATTTGTTTTTCTCATTAGGGTTTTCTGCTTCCTCCATATTTCCCTACCTTCACCAGGCTGACAATCCTTTCATTTTACATATCAGGAAACTAAGCCCAAAGAGGTTAAATGACCTGCCCAAGGTTACATAAAGGATTAGAACTCAAATTTCCTTACTTCAGATCTATTGCTCTTTCCCTTCATTATAAAGTAATACTCTCAGCAGGAAAGATTCTGGGGAATGTTTGGGCTCCATTTAGAGAGGCAGACCCTGGACGAAATGGTTCATCAGTACCAGGCTGGTCAAACTCTGTCAGAACTTTTATTAGCACCTGGTGTAATGAATAAGGAAGACCAAATAATTGATGCATTTGAATTATGGTGTTGGCAAAGAATATTGTATATATTATAGACTTCCAGAAGAACAAACAAATCTGTCTTGGAAGAAGTACTCCTTAGAAGTGAGGGTAGTGATACTTCATCTTATGTATTTTGGACATGTTATCAGGAGGAACAAATCTTTGCAGAAGGACATCATGCTTGGAAAAGTAGAGGGTCAGAGAAAAAGAATACCTTCAACAAGATAGATTGACACAGTGGCTGCAACAATGGGCTTAAACGTAACAATGATTGTGAGGACAGCGCAGGATTGGGTAATGTTTTCGATGTACATCAGGTCAGTATGAATTGGAATCGATATGACAGAACTTAACAACAACAATGAACTCTAAAATTTCCAGTTGTTGTTGTTGCTGTTGTTATGTGCCGTCGAGTCGGCCCCGACTCATAGCGACCCCTTCTTGGGTTTCCGAGGCAGTATCACTACGGAAGTAGGATTGCCCAACCTTCCTTC